TTGTCTTAGGCCGGCCTACCGCCCAATTCGAGCGCGTGGCAAGATGTGACCGCCTGGCGATCGATATTGCTATACGCACATCTCGCCACGAGCTCGAATTGGGCGGTAGGCCGGCCTAAGACAACGATTTTTAATAATTAATTACTCGTTAACTATTACGAAAATTGCAAAATGGTACAGGACTTTTCCGTTCATCTCGATCCGTTCTACCTTCTCAAAAATTTTGTCGGATATGGAAAGACTCACCCTGTATACTGAGAATATTTCTTGGTATATCATAGGTATATTAATAAAATATTTTGATCACATAATTAATTGCCTGGTCAGGTTTTCCTTATCAAGACGTCATGACTTGCCCCTTGTTACGTCTTATAATTTCTAATAGGAGGGTAGTGGGGCATCAGTAGGCATCCTATTAAAAATATTTAATTTTTAACCTTAAAAATAAATGTTCAAAATGTATTATAAATTATGTAATCATCAAAAGTATATTCAGGTCATTGAAGTTTATCCATGATCCAGACAACCAGTTGTCAGATCATATCGGCTCGCCTCTTATACTAATACAGAATGATTTTTACTTACGAGAAGGCTAACGCGCGGTCGCCACATCGCGGCAGTTAGTGGTTACTAGTACTACATGTTCTGAAAATATACAAGAGTATGGGAAAAATAATATACTACTAAAAATGTTATAGGGATGATCTCAGTATGTTAAATACAGTACGTTTTACAGTATTGCTTTATAATATACGTAACAATATATTCTGATAATATACGATATATATACGAGAAATAATATACTGTAAAAGATGTTCTGAAAACATCCTAAAAATATACGAAAACTGATATACTACAGGAGATATTATAGAGATATTCTCAGTATATTATATACAGTACGTATATTCATAGTATGAGTATAGAATATTCGTATAATATCATGTACTGTCTGGGTAGTGTCGCTCGTTATTCGTCGCTTGCCACCTGCCGCTCTCCGCTCGCCGCTCGCCTCCCACCAGTCACCCTTGCTCGAGGGACAAGGGGCAGCGGCGAACGGCGAGTGGTGTGAGGCGATTGGCGAGCGGAGAGCGCCGGGTGACGAGCCACGAGTAACGAGCGACGCTACACCCACCAAGCCCGGCCTACAGTCGGAAGCTTGTTTCCATGCGTTCATTCGCTTAGACGTAATAATTAATAACTCAAAAACTATTGCGAATTTTGCATCATGTTATCTGACTTTTCTCTTCAGCTTGCCCTAGGGCCACATTCACCAATCTTTGGTTAACCCAACCGGTCTAGTAACATGCAGGATTGCAACCGAATCTGATGAGAAATCTGATGAGAATCTGAGAAAATATATCAGATTCGGTTGCAATCCTGCATGTTACTAGACCGGTTGGGTTAACCGGAGATTGGTGAATGTGGCCCTTAATCTACCTACATGTTTCGGTTGATCAGTAACTTATCAGACACCCTGTATAACGAGATTTTTCTATTTTTTCCAGAGTTGGTTACAATTGCAGTCGGTAATCCATCTCTCATGGTAAAAGGCTGGGGCAGGAAATAAAATTCAACCTGTATATATAAAATATAGATATTACATAAGAAAGGAAACAAAAATGTTTATATAATGAATATGTATTACAGTTAGTTAACTCTTTAACGACGGTAAAATCTATCAACAAAACTGATGCAACAACTCTTCTAACAACCTTTGGCACATTAGCTGACATTGTAAAAGCACAACCCAATACTTTGGCTTTGTGTCCTGGATTTGGTTTGCACAAAGCTCAAAAGCTTCACAGGGTTTTGCATGAATCTTTTTTACGCACATCAAATGTCTCTACAAAATAATATAAAATCTTTCAGTGTATACAATATTTTCAGTATTAAGTATGCTTCAATTGTACTGGAATAAAATAATTGAAGTTAAAATACGCACAGAGACATTTATTGTACATACTAAGGACCACTTCCACTAAACTTTAGATACTTTCCAATTGCAATATTCCTAGATATTTTGGTACACACGGCGACACAAATTACATTCCAATTACCATAATTGTTGACAAAACTCTACACATCTGTATTCAGCCCGAAGACTACTAGTCGGTTATATAAGTTTGTATGTTCTAGTAACAAATAATATTATAGTCACTAAGCACAGTTATGAAAAAGTGGCCGGCATTTTTTCTTTGCTATGGTAGTTCTTCCCACAGGTTTTGCATATGGGATTGCAACATATACTGCTCTGTGTGCTCTCTGTGATATATAATTTATTCTAATTGAGTTGTATAAATTGCTATACTTTGTTAGTTCCTATGTATGTTTGTATGAAAAAGTATGAAGCAATTGGAAAGCACTCTTTGATTAAAGTAATTTACAATTACCCAGATAGCCATATCTGTCAGAACAGATTTTATCAAATACCTACTACAAATTTTAAAGGCAAAAAGACTGCATATTGCATACAGGAACTAATATATTCGATAATGTTGCCAGCATGTTAGCAGAAATACAACAAAATCTGCTCACATAACTGAACAATAGATTATTAGCAGAAATTGAGCAGAGCTTGCTGATATAACTGATGGCAGATTGATCGCAAAAACCTAGCAAAATCTGCTGACATAATTTGTCGGCAAATTGGTAGCAAACTCTGTTGTTTACTGGCGATTTGTATTGTAACAATCCCGCTAGGTGGATATGTGGCATGATATTTTCTTGTAAGAAAAAAACCACACGCAGTATTGTAAATTAACACATCCACATGAGATTGTTTTATCATCTCTTTGATACTGAAGTGAACTCTTTTGTCTACGAGTGTGTAGAAACTTTACAGAAAACTTTACTATTTATTAGTTTTACGCATTTTTGTGATAAAAAAACAAGAACAAAAAATAGAAACGGCGATTCTACTCAGTTTCTACTGCCAATTTGCCGCCAAACTGCGCTGCAGAGATCCTGTTCGATTTCTCTTACCAATCTGACGTCAAACTGTACTATTCAGATCCTGCTTGATTTCTGCCGTCAATTTGCTGTCAAACTGCGCCGTACAGATTCTTCTCGGTTTCTGCCGACAATCTGTTGACAGCGTATGTATTATAGACACGTTGCCAAAACAAAAACCAAATGGATACAGATGGCTATGGTTTTTAGTGTGGGTTTCTGATCCAATTTGATGCTAATCTGCTAACATTTTGCTGAATGGATAACTGTCAATGTTGCCCAAACATATACCAAATGTATTTTTATATTTGCCATTGTTGGCAATTCTGTTGGCTGACAATAAATTAATGATTAATGATTAAATAACTGGAGTTTGGTCAAAGTGGTCCTAATTGTAAAATTATTAAAAATTTTTATATAAAATATAAATGATTAATGAATTATATGTATATTAATAAAAGAATAATTTATAAGTAATCTTTCACAAAACATGCAATTTATTAATAATTCAAAATATGATTTACAAATTTAATCTGAAAATCTGTAGTTAAATGTTGAAACTGTTTGACTTAGGGAACAATTTTTCACATAAGTATACATGAAATGAAGTATACAAATTGTACATAAAATACATGTACGTTTATATGTTTTTCTTACGTATAATAACGTTTATTCTATAACGTACATCCCTATCTAAAAGAGGCATTGCGAGTTCATTGTTGTCGCTTTTCCGCGATGCCGATTGGCTCTCTCGAAACTCGATCGAGTGTCGATCTTGTTGCGAGTCGTTCTCTTCGACTCGCGGTTTTGACAGTTTGTATTTAAGAGGGTTATTTTGACAGTTTATGTAATATAATGTGGAAGAACAATGGCGCGCGCGAAGCGCGCGCTTGTGTTGTTCTAGTATTCGTAAAAAATAAAAAAATCCGTTATTTTCGAGGCTGTCTCACCCCCTAAACGTCGAGTAAAGCCGATAAAAAAAATACGGGTCTAATACTTTTTATGCTCTACAACATATTCAAAGCTCATTGAAATCGGTGAGGGACACTTCCGACCATTCCCTTGTTAGTGGAGGAGGAAGGTATTCTTCATTTGAAATAATATCCATGGGAACAATTTTTCGCGGTGTCTCCCGAGGAGAAAATTGATAATTGATCAATAA